TTATCATCATTGAAATGTAGCTGCTGGCCGGTATCATGGCTTCGTTCTGGGTGCTCTTGCCACAACTGATGGTCCAGAAGCTGCTACCTCAACATGAGTCAAGATAAAGTGCACTAATTACCCACTTGTGTTTGCATTATTCTCCTAGTCTTGAGATATTAAGGTTAATAAGTTCGTTATGTTTTTTTTATGCTAGGATGTCTAAACAAAAGAAATTCCTTCCGATTAAAAGTGGCACATGATTTGATTAGGTAATGTATTTAGCATCCATTTCACATTTAAATTATTCAGAGTTGGAGAATAAATACCACCTAGTTCGTTCTTAACAAAGCCCTTCCTCAAAGGAAAGCGACTATAGCTAGGGTACTGGGTACACTCCATACAAACAGCATGTTACTTGCCTTGGCACACGTGTGGGACCCCAGTGCACAGTACGTACACGTGGCACATGCACCCAACGCTTATTATACTAAAAGGGCGTACCCAGTGCAGAGAGCTCCCACTCTGTGCGGGATCTAGGAAAGGGTGTCAATGGCAAGCCTTACCCTCGTCTGTGCAATGCGAGGAGACCGCGACTCGAACTCGGGACCTTCCGGTCACATACGGTAAGACTCTACCGCTTGCACCAGGCCCGCCCTTCCCAACGCTTATTATACTATAGTACTAAAATGAGAAAAGTTTGTTTCATGATAAATAGTGTCCAGGATATATACACACACAAAGTGAACCTATACTAATCATTCCCCAGCATGTTAATCTCATGATTAAATTTGGCCACCACCCCACAAAGTGATCCAGGCCCAGGGAACTAAACCCCACCAATTGCGTGACCATGAACCATGCATTCCAGAATCCAACACCCAAGGCGGGGAAAAGATATTCACCTTCCACCAGGTGTTCTTTTACGTGAGTGGTGAATCTTTCTCTTGTGTTTCTTTTGGAAACTTGGGGTGGAGTGGATTCTCTAAAGCAGTTTCTAATAAAGCAGACTTGTTACAGGTTTGAATTAAGAAAAAGAGGAAGGCAAGAAACCGGAAATTGATAAAGGTTGAACTGAGAATCGTGTCTCCTTTTTTTTATTTCAAGTATATATGGAAGCACTTATGTTACTGGTAATAACTAACTTGGTTTTAATTAAAATCCCATTTATACCAAAAGTTCTTTTGAGCCTTGTATGCCGTAGTTGTTGCTCATCTATCCAGCCAAATTATGTTGTTGATGGGTTATATATGGAATGACACTTCAATTAATATGGTCCAGTTTGGCACATGCAGACTTGCTATCCTGTTTCTTTTTTTTTCACAAATTAAACAGAAATTATACCAAATAGCATGATCCTATAGCAATTTATTAGTAAATAGAATCCAAGACTTTTCACTAGCGCTTCCAAAAAGCAAATTCTCACAATCACAAATTCACACCCAAATTTCAACCACTACACCTTTGTCTCCCATCCAAACCCTTGCGGGGCGTGCAATTCCTCTTTCCGCTCTTTCCCTGAAAAAATAGACTTGGCCTCACAAATCTTTTTTGTGCAAGACTTGAATGATCATGAAGACTAGATTTTATATATGTCATGATGGATGCACATGTTCTGGGTCTATTATTATTGTAGACATAGATAAAAATGTTGCATTGCATTTATTAGATAAACCACATGTCAGATCAGGGTTGAGAAAAATTGTGGAGACATGAACCAAAGGTTTGCGGAAAAATTCAAATTGCATCTTCTCTCATTGAATGGAACCTAGGTGTAGGAGGTGCCGAACTACCTCACAACAAGGTTAGATGTTTTCTAGTTTCGTGCACCCCTATAATCCATACCTCCAATAGTTGTTTGAAAACACATGCACAATTTTTTGAGAGGACATTTATCTCTAACAAACGATTAATATATAGGCTTATTTTTCAAATTTTTCTATTTGTGTTTTCCTTAAAAAAACAAAATCCTAAATTTCTTAGACATCGCATTCTAAGAGATAAGAACATATCCCCTTTTGAAAACTTGGGTGGAGTGGATTCTCCTACAGATTCTAGAGCAAAGTTGTTAATATGTTAGTCCAGGTGTAGTTTCTTGTCTTCCAATGGAGATTCCAATTCAAGAAAGGGCCGACATGACACTAGAAATTCACAAAGGTGAAACTGAGAACCAAGCTTTTTTCTTTCATATCTCTTTGTATGGAACACCTATTTTATCTTAGTGAAAGTAAAAACACTTATTTACTGCCATGTAACTCCATGTTTTATGGGTTTAGCATAAGAACCTTGCATTTTTGTAGTTGTTGTCATGTATCAAGATTCAAGCCAACAACGCACCACTACAGATCATGTTATGGTTGGTCACTTGTCATATTGGAGTATAATAGAGTTGTGGGAATCAAACTCTAGTGGACTGACGTCCACCCTTATCGGACATAGTCAAGTTTGGCACATGTTATTTCCCAGACTTTTTATATATCAAACAACAGTATTCTGCAGCAAATTATCAATAAACTGAATCCTAGGCTTTTCATTGGTGTTCCAAAAAGCAGATTCTGCCAATCACACAGAAATTAACCACGACTCCTTTATCTCCCAACCAAACACCTATGGCAGCACACACTTTGTCTCTTCTCCGCCCCTCCTAGTAAAAATAGACCCTGACTTATTCTAGTGCAAAAAAAGGTCTATTTTTTATGCTAGGATGTATAATAGAATATAGTTATTATTAGCTAAAAGAAGTTTGAGTAATTAAAATCCCATTATATTAGTTAACTGATTTATTCTAACGTTCTATTTGTGTTTTCCTTTAAAATCAAGAGCCTAACTTTTTCTTAGACATCACATTCTAGGAGGTATGAACATATCCTTTTTGAAAAACTTGGGTGGAGTGGATTCTCTTACAAATTCTAGAGCGGAGTTGTTAACTTTAGTCCATTGTAGTTTCTTGTGTTTCAATGGAGAATCCAATTCAACAAATGGCCGACACCAAACCAGAAATTCACAAAGGTGAGACTGAGAATCAAGTTTTTTCTTTCATATCTCTATGTATGGAAACACTTATTTTATCTTAGTGAAAAAAGAAACACTTATTTACTAAAATGTAAAGGTTTTATGGGTTTAAATTTGAGTCTTGCATTTTGTTGTTGCTGCCATGTATCAAGCCAATGACATAGCAATACATATTATGATGTTGGTTGGTCTCTTGTCATATTGGAGTATATAGAGTTGTAGGAATCAAACCCTAGTGGTCGAGTGATGTCCACCCTTACCATACACGGTCCAATTTGACACGTGCTTTTCCTCGGTTTTTCACAGATCATACGGCCGGATTCTACAGCAGTAATCCAGTAGATTATCCATAAACAGAATCCAAGACTTTTCATTGGCTCTTGCAAAAAGCAGATTCTGACAATCACATAGAAATTAACCACCATCGCTTGTCTCCCAACCAAACACCCATGCCGGTGCCGTGCACACTCCCTCTTTTCTTTTCTGCCCCTCCCTGTAAAAATAGACATGGTCCTAGAGAATTCTTTTCTAGTGCAAAAAAGGCCTGAATTGCCACAGATCAATTCTCGTTTGATTACTTTGAGAACAACTACAACAACTGGTCACATCCTTAAAAAACTCTTCCCCTCCCCTGCATCTACATCGGGTCGGAGGAAGAGAGGAGGCGGCCATCACCATGTTATTCGTCCTGCCCTACCACTACCATCAGTACCAGTAGTCTCCATCTCCCCTAATAGAACACAATATCCTCCTCCGAGAAGCGCTCGCTTCTTCTACTGCTGCTGCTTCGGCTGGTCAGAGGACCGTTGTGCTCCCATCCTATGCAAAAAGGTCTATTTTTATGCTAGGATGTATAATAGAATATAGTTATTATTAGTTAATAGAATTTTGAGTAATTAAAATCCCATTATATTAGTTAACTGATTTTTCTAATGTTCTATTTGCGTTTTCCTTTAAAATCAAAAGCCTAACTTTCTTAGACATCACACGTTCTAAGAGGTATGAACATATCCCTTTTGAAAACTTGGGTTGAGTGGATTCTCTTACATATTCTAGAGCGGAGTTGTTAACTTTAGTCCATTGTAGTTTCTTGTGTTTCAATGGAGAATCCAATTCAACAAATGGCCGACACCAAACCAGAAATTCACAAAAGTGAGACTGAGAATCAAGTATTTTCTTTCATATCTCTATGTATGGAAACACTTATTTTATCTTAATGAAAAAAGAAACACTTATTTACTGAAATGTAAAGGTTTTATGGGTTCAAAATCCGAGTCTTGCATTTTGTAGTTGCTGCCATGTATCAAGCTAACAACGTAGCAATACATATTATGATGTTGGTTGGTCTCTTGTCATATTGGAGTATATAGAATTGTAGGAATCAAACTCTAGTGGTCTAACGGTCCAATTTGACACGAGTTATTCCTTGGTTTTTCACCGACGGTTGAATTCTGCTGCAGTAGATTTTGATAAACAGAATCCAAGACTTTTTTTTATGGAAAGAATCCAAGACTTTTCATTGGCTCTTCCAAAAAGCAGATTCCGACAAGGTGACGATCACACAAAAATCAACCACCACCGCTTTATCTCCCAACCAAATACCCATGCCGGTGCCGTGCACACTCCCTCTTTTCTACCCCTCCCTGTAAAAATAGACATAGTCCCAGAGAATTCTTTTCTAGTGCAAAAAAGGCCTGAATTGCCACGGAGCAATTATCGCTTCATTACTTGAGAAGAACTACAACAACTGGTCACATCCTTCAAAAACTCTTCCCCTCCCCTGCATCTGCATCGGGTCGGAGGAAGAGAGGAGGCGGCCATCACCATGTTATTCGTCCTGCCCTACCACTACCTTCAGTACCAGTAGTCTCCCTCTCCCCTAATGGAGCACGATATCCTCCTCCGAGAAGCACTCGCTTCTTCTACTGCTGCTGCTTCTGCTGGTCAGAGGACCCCCGTGTCCCACGCTCCCATCCTATGCATGCTGCCGGCACCTCAGGGTCAGCCGGTCAGGGCTGCGCCGCTTTGCATGCCCCCGCCACGACGGCCTCCCCTACGCTGAAGAAGAGGCGGTCCGACCCGAAGGTATCCCCCACCGCCGAGTTGAAAATCCTCTCCGCCACCGATCCCAACGGGTTGGCAAGCACCAGCTGCACGCATGCGGCAAAATCCAGTCATTTGGCAATCCAAATCGATGAACAGCAGCTATGTAGCAACATCAGCCAGCAGCTGTATGCATGTGTACCTCGATGTTTCTTTTGTCCAGGACTTTCTTCAGCTCCGACAGCGCGTCCAGACCGCTCGTGTCGATCGCCGTGACGGCTGCAAGAATCGAACAAGATCCACATGATGACATGAAGCGAGTAATAACTTAATATAACTACAGTTCCATGGCGCTAGCTAAGCTAGCTAGCTCACCGCTCATGTCGAGGACGACGGATCGGATGGAGGGGAGGTTGGACTTGAGCGCGCGCTCCTCCTCGTCGCGGAGGTACCGCAAGACCCGCTCCACCAGGTACATGGAGTTAGCGAAGTAGATGGCCGACTCGACGCCGACGACGAGGAACGCCGGCACGCGCACGGCCTCCCGGTACTGCGCCACGCTGCGGTAGCTCTGCGTGCCGGGGACCAGGCCTTCCACCACCAGGTTCGGCCGCGTCACCTGCAGCAGGATCTTGAACAGCGAGATGCCGACGGCGATGGCGAGGCCCATCTGCACGGACACCAGGAGCACGCCCAGGAACGCGGACACGCACGCCAGGAAGTCCAGCTTGTCCACCTTCCACAGCTTGGCGGCGCCGCGCACGTCGATCAGCCCTATCACCGCCGTGATGATGATCGCCGACAGGATCACGTTCGGGGTGTAGTGGAACAGCGGCATCAGGAACAGCAGCGTCACCAGCACCATCGCCGCCATCACGATGTTGGACACCGCCGTCTTGCACCCCGCGCTGTAGCTCACCGCCGACCGGGAGAAGGAACCCGTCGTCACGTAGCAGGAGGCGCAGGAGCCGGCCATGTTCATGATCCCGATCGCCATCATCTCCTTGTTCCCGTCCACCTGGTAGTTGTTGATGGACGCGAATGTCCTGCCCACTGCAATCCCTTCCTGCATTTTTTTTAAAAAAAAATTCGAAATAACAAATCTCCTTCAGCTAGCTGGGTCAAAATGTAAACTTTCATGCATTTTGAAATCAAAATCACAAATTCACATCGCTGCAGTGCAGTTTCATGGAAATTTGACTTACAGTTAAGGACAAGATGCCTGTCATGACCCCTGTTTTGATCGCCAGCGCCACGTAGGAGCCGCTGAAGGTGAGCATGTTCGCTGAAGGTGGGTTCACTCCCCTGGGGAGGATGCCAATCTGTGTTTTGCAGAAAGTGAAACGATATTTTAAGAAAAAGATATTTACAGATGAAGCAACGAATAATTATTATTTTTTCTTTGATTTGAGGTCTGAATCAGGGAACTGATTCAGATTGGCTATACTGAAGATACTTACAACACTGATGGTGGGGGATTTCCAGATGTAGGAGAGGATGGTGGAGATGATCACTGACGCCAGGGGAGCACCTGCTGCTACCAAGAAAAGCTTTGGGTTCCTTTTGCTCTGAAAAAAATATATACAGCGAACAAAATTAGAGGTTGATAAGTTTGTCTGTCATTCATTGCTTTTATAATCTCAACAAGACAAACTAGATAGATTTGTGTACTGTAAATTACTAGTAGATACTAGAATTTTTAGGAGTATAAATAAATAAATTATGTAAAAAGCTGTTGATTTTGGAGGCACTGATTTTTTTGAAGATTTCTCAGGCATCGCCCCAGCAGAGTGGAATTCTCAGACTGACACTTTTAATCATATCATACCAAGTGACAAGGAGCAGCGTCCTTCTTAAGCAAATTTTATCTGCAGCTAGCTAAAAGAGTGATGAAACTATAGCCACTTGTCATGAGTGATGGCGAATCATTTACAGTCTCAACTCTTTTTTTTTCCTCGAATACGCATGTGCATATCATTGTATTAGAAGAACGAGTTTATAATACAGTCTCAACTCTCATGGAGGTGCTTGTCGATCAATCCTTTTCTGGAGATATTGGAATTTGGGAAGTGGTGATATATCATGCACAGATGGCCATGGCCAACTTGTTGGATATTAACAGGTGACACATCAGCAGCCAAATCAGACGCATTCTCCTCAAAAAGGGCATTGGGCGAGGTTCCACTGGTGCTTTGTCAGAATAGATTCTAAAGCCACAAGCACACGTCTTACTCTATCTGATCTGATCCATGTGGTTTAGCCATGTGAATGCTTGCTAACATTCTATCAACACACACAATTGGTACTTGCAAGTTCACACCAGACTATTACTATTCAAACAAAGTGCTGCTTCAAAATACATGTGTGCTTCAGCAATATATGCTTGGTTCTTGTTTACTTGAAATAAAACAGTGGTGCTTTTGTTTTTAAAATAAAAGGGAAACAAAATGATGCTTTAAACTATTCCCAATTTATAAATACACAACCTTAAAGAGGAAACACTTTTTGGCACCATGTTTCAGTCCATTGATAGCTAGCTTGGAAGATTAGGCCTGGTGCCTGGTGAGGACAACTTTTCTTGGCATACCAACTGTTTAGTCGAGTCAAGTAACTCTGAACCATTTTTCTTTAAGTATACTGCATAGAGCACAACTAGCTTGGATAACTAACTGAAACCGTTCAAAAGGTCCTAAATTAGGGAACTATGCCATGCTGATTTTTGTTATAGAAAATATTTCTTTTACTGTGACAATGTGTTGAACTTAGGGAATATATTTGTAATAAGGTAAATGGATTGAAAGGAGTTCCTTTTCTTTTTTGGGTGGGGTGGGGTGGGGGGTGCGAGGGGATATGTCAACATTACTAGGTCCCAAGAAGCAGGAGGTGGCTCTTAATCACCCCATGAATTATTAGACATTTCTTAAACTATGCAGTGGAGTCAAAAATTCCTTGTTAGTGGCAGGCACCCTTTGGGCCCCTCCATGAACTCAGGGTTTGAATCACCACCTTCCTTTTTTGCAGCCCCATCTTTCCTAGAAGCTAAGCTAAGCTACCTGTCCATCCAAACACCATGGTCAGAAAAATCGTAGAGAATTTTGCCGACTGATGATTAACCAATCAATCTAACTGCATCTGCCCTTTAGCTTTTAATTTAAGAGAAGAAAAGTGACAGAGATCAGATTCTACCCGGTTTCGTTTACACCTGTCGTTGTCGCGGGAGAAATGCGAAACCACTTGTACAAACGGTCCGTGTGACATTTTGTATGTGCGGCTACTGTTACCCCTGCTAGCTTTATTTCTCTCTTACTACTAATAGTAATTAGTTGTTTAATCTTAGCAATTTCATTCCTGCCTTTGTTCTTTTTTTTTTTGAGGGAACAGGAGAGGCCCGGAGGCCTCTACTGAAAATTTATTGAAAAAAAACGTAACCAAGGTGATTACAGAAGGACAAAGGCAGGCAAACTAGAAACAGAGTTCTGGACACAAAGAAGGATTGTGATAACTAATCAGATGGAAATGGAATCCGGTACATGCATGCATGGTTCAAAAGAAATATACATAGTAAAGGTGAATGATGAATAACCAAATGATTAAAGAGCAGAATTAGAGAGCTTACGATTTGGCGCGTGAGGAGGAGGATGGCGAGGAAGGCGCTGCCCATGACGATCGTCTGCCACTTCCACTGCATCCATTGTCGACGTCACCAGCAATTGTGAGAACGAGGATGATTTGTTGCGTAGCTGGTGAATTTTATACCAGACGCAGACAGTCTTGCTGCTCTGTCATTGCCGGCCGGCCGGATCACGATCGGCGGGCGACGACAGAGCAGTCGCACAGAGCACGAGGATGTACCTCGTCGTGGCGGTTGACGACGGAGCGCATGACGTCGACGAAGCCCATGTGGGAGGTGAAGTGGACGATGCCGAGCAGGCTCTTGAGCTGCTGCAGCGACACGATGACGGCGGCGCCGCCCATGAAGCCCGTCAGCGTCGGCTTCGACAGGAAGTCGACGATGAAGCCCAGCCTGCGATATATGCCGATGCATGGAATGGACGCGCATGTGTGATGAGCTGCTCTGCTCTACTCTGCCGCGCCAGCCAATGGAACAGTGTTGGTTGGTTCAGAATGGCACCTGAGGAATCCCAGGGACGCCTGTAAGGCGCCGGCGAAGAAGGTGGCGGTGAAGGCGAGCTGCAGGTACAGGATGGGCTGCTCGTCCGGCGACACGGCCTCCCGGAGCATGGACCCCATCACCAGCGACGCGATGGAGACCGGCCCCACCGCCAGGTCCCGCGAGCTCCCCAGCAGCGAGTAGATGAGCGGCGGCACAAAGCTGGAATCTGCTTGCATGCATGCACCAAACAAGGCTCAGAGATTGAGATTGCTCCTACCAATTTGGAATTTGCAGGAGCATCTCGAAGAAACTCACATAGGCCAATGATCGGCGGCAGGTTGGCGAGCTTGGCGTAGCTGATTCCCTGCACGGCGACGGCAACAACGGCAACCGTGTTAGAGGTAGTTATTACGCGTTGCACGCCGGCCGGCCTATATTCTGGGCTGTGCCATAAAAAAGACCGTGCCAAAAGTAGCTAGGAAATGAATGAAGACGAGGGAGGGAGGGAGGGAGGGGTGGAGAAGCAGGGGAAAGCAGAGCACGTGCCTGCGGGATGGCGAGGCTGGCAATGGTGAGGCCGGCGATGAGGTCGGAGCGGAGGAGGCTGGGGCTGTAGGCGGACCCCCACTGGAAGATGGGGAAGAAGTACTGCAGCGCCAGCACCAGGCGCCGCGCCGACGACTGGTTCTTGAACTGGTGCAGCGGGTCGTCGGGGAAGAACACCTCGGCCAGGCGCTGCCGCAGCGCCTTCGCCGTCGTCCGCCGCTCCGGCACCGACACCTTGTGCAGCTCCAGCACCGATGCCGACGCGGACGCGGTGCCCTGCCGCGTCACGGGCGCCGCGGGACGAGCCGGCGCCGGCGACGACGACGCCGGAGGTGGCGCTGCCGCCGCCGCCGCGGGCGGCGGCGCCTCGACGTCGTACGACAGGCTGTCCACCTTGTTGTTCGCAACCATGCCGGCTGGCTGCTGGTCAATCGCTGCTAGCTGGTCGATGGCGTGCGTGGTCCCCGTCGGTTATCGCCGGCAAGGGCGGCGACCGACGCGCGCGTGGCCGTGGGCGGCCTTGTCGATTTGGGCTTTTAATTCTTGCCCTCGCTTCCGTCCTGCAACGGCAGGGGAGTGAAGAGAGAGGGAGGAAGGTGTTTGTTGTTGGCTTGCTGGATGGATTCTTGCGGAGGAGGAGGAGGAGGCCGCGGCACCTTTAATAGGGAGGGAGCCGGGAGCGAGAGGCCGGAGGCGGGACAAGCCCGAAGCCACCCCGGTTTGAACCACGGTCGACGAGTGAACCAACACAAGAGGAGAGGAGAAGAGAGACAGAGACTACTTACTGGTGGTTAATTTGGGTGCGCCTATTACTGGCGAAATCGTCTTGTAGGATTTGAGGCACATGGATGCATGGAGTTTAACGGAGCACTGTGGATTATCTTGGAGGATTTGTTTCGTCTTTTAATTCTTTTTAAGAGTGTCTAGTTATCTATCAACAAATTTTATGTGGTCAGATCTGTTTTTTTTTTGATAGTTATAGCATAAATCCTAAAGCACAATCAAATGTATAGAACTCGGACAGATTTAATGCCAAAAAATCTATCATCAGATAAATAGCAAAAGTCTTCTTGTTAATTGGTAAGTCTTCTTATTAATTGGTATAGATGTATACGGTATAAACCAAGTAGGTTGTGATGGGTTGACTCCATTTTTTTTTGAAGGTATTTGGTTTCAGAGACTTGAGAGGTCGGATTTCTCTCGCAAGAGAATATTCCTCACGGATGCAGGTTTAAACGGCTACTTAAAATCAAGCGGATGAACCAACCCACTTCGGCGCACGAGCGGGCGTGGGCGAGGGGGTGGCGGCACGGGCCATAGTATGGGGGTGGCAGGTGTAGGTGATTCACAATGCTCGGGTTGAGGAGGGCGTATGTAAGCAAGCGAGTTGGAGCGTAGGGCATCAGCAAACGTAGGTGAGCTAGAGCGTGGGTGGCAGTGGCATAGAGCATGGTGCGGGAAAGGAGAAGAAAGCATACATGATATGTAAGCCTCATTTATCAGGTACTTCATTCCGTCGTCTGTTTACCCGCAACTAAACAAAAAGTAAGAACAACAACAATCCCTCAATCAAAAAGATGAGAAAAAGAGACTAAGTTTGGACCAACACATTCCATATAGTCCCGAAACCAAGAGCATGCTAAGATTTTTTAGTTACTTTCTTGGTTTTCACTATTTGTCCATAGATCAACTGCCCGCATTCATAAGGGAGGCATTAATTAAGAAATAAAAAACCATTGAGGGTATATCCTTATGAAATAAAACATTAATTAGGGAAACAGAGTGGATACACTGCAACAAGTCAACAATATACTCTTTGACTTCTTTGGTGGTCAAATATTTTAAAATAGATTCTCATGAGGCCTTGGACAAGCATGGTTAAACAAGAAAGCAAGGGAACAAAACGTGTCATCTACAATATAACCTTAAGATGACTATTATTTTACCTTTCTCTTTTTCTATCTAAATGCTAATTTTATTTCCCCCCTTCGTTTAAATCCCACTTTTTTTTCTAAACAAATGAGTCGCCTAACATGCATGACAATAGCACCCTTCGTAGCCTGACCTTTGTGGAATTCCTGACGACTGTTGGTCGGCTTTTTTTTTTATATTCCCAATTTGAATCTACATAGCAGCATTATTAAAAAAAAATTCTACATAGCAGTAGACAGTATATATATATATATATATATAAGATATATCTCTATATATATATATAGTGAATATATATCGAATCTAGTGACCTCCCCTAGCAGTGAAGTTAGTAAAAAAAAAGAAGCAGCAGATTCACCACACTTGTAAAAAGAAAGGAAGAAACTCCTGGTGGAAGGTGAATACCTTTTGGTATTTGGCTCTTGGATGGATGCTGGATGATGGAATGGCTGCCCGCAATTTGGTGGGGTAAGTTCTCTGCATCACTTTGTGCTCATATGCTTAGTGGGGTGCCCAATTTTAACGGTCGTGTATATCCATCCGGTGACCATGATTAACTTTTTTTTTCTGTGACTGTGACCATGAGTAGCTATGAGCGCAGCTTTTTGTTTAGTGAAAGCAGTAGGGGAATGATAGATTCCAGGGCGGCGTGTCCGTGCCACGTGTGCATTGGTGGGCCCACATTGGTGACGACTGCTGAGGCAAGTAACATGTGTAGGCTTTGGAGTTAGGAATAATGATGTTTGGAGCACACCCATGCTTGACCCATACATGATTACTTTGGGAAAGGGGTGTGTTATTTTAACTAAAAAGAAGCAAATGAAGGCATTCATTCCTTCTCCCCATTCGGCTTACCCTATATCCGGCTTGTTCGGCTTCTTTTTCAGTATTTTTCTCTCACAACAATTCAACCAGAACAGTGTTTTTCAACCAGTTTCAGCCAAAATTCAGCCAGCCGAACAGGGCCAAGATAGCTTGATATCTACTCATTATGCTGATTAATCAGGAGTTCATTTGTTTAGTAATCTATTATCAATCCATTTAACTTAAAAATACCCCCATTCAATAAATTCTTATTTGGCAGTGGAAAAAATCCTCAATCCTCGATATGATATTAATTGATGTGTCCATGACATGAGGGAAATTGCGTGATGACATGTTAAGGATTATACCTATTGGTTGTTAGCATTATTATTGGAGTCGAAGGTATATATATGGCACAAATGTTTTTATATGCCGTAATGAGTAAGATTATCTTAAGTAGAATCTATGGCAGGGGAATGCAAAGCTAGCATTAAAAACTTAAGCTGAACATGCCACACACCACTCCGGTGGAGAGTCGTAATTGTTTGTTTGGTGCAATGCTACTTACTACACTTTCACATTTTTGGAGACATGTTGAGCTAGCTAGTACCTTCTGAACCGTCAGTTGTGACATGAGCACCAAGAGCTAGCCATGATACCAACCGCTAACATTTCAATGACAAGGCGCATCTATCATGTTGGAAAACTGGGGTTTCCAGCAAGTAATTCCCAGAAGACCTTCGCCCAGCCGGGTGCCCCGGCCGAAGGTATGAGAAGAGGAAAGTGGGCCCAAGCTTAGTTAGGGTTCCATAAATGTACTCACAAAAAAAACCCTTTACACAGGATACCTTCCCCTTTTTATAGGGTACCACTTACTAATTTCGTACATTACAATCTTGCCCTCTAACCACTCAGGCATATTCCCGAGATATTCCTACGCTAGTTCTAACACTCAGGGTGCTCTCTGACTTTGTCCTCCTACATCGCCTGTGTTCCTCGGGCCCCGATTTCAGGCCCACCAAGGGCCCATTTTCAGTTTTTGGGCCGTACTGTCTCTGTTGTCTTCCGCACGACCTGGTTCTTTGCTCAGGGCGCAGGTGTCTTCGCCCTTTGCTTCGGAGCCTCCGCCTTTGACTTTCCATCGCTCCTATGCGGGCTCATGGGCAGACCTTTTCCCGTCCCATCGGTTGCAGGCGGAGGCCTCACCGTGCCCAGCGAAGGCTCTGCGGGGTCGCCTTCCGGGTCCCCCGCGTGGACCTCCGCCTTCGCCTCCCAGGTCTCCGCGCCGTCTTGGCTTTCGAGCGAAGGCTCTGCACCGGGTGCTCCTGCAAAACATCCAAAGACAACCCGAGGTTGTTGAGCGATGTTAGCCTTAGCCTCCGCGAATCCGTGTTCTAGTGTCCCAACAGTTCCCCCCTTGAGGGCGTGGTCCGGTGCGAGCGGGCCGTGAGCCTCAAAATGTGACACTGATACGGAGTGGCGGAGGCTTTCTTTCCCCCTTCCCCCCTAGGCCGCCCATATCGGACCATTTGGTATGGCGACGTGTTGCTTTCTGATTGGTTGCGGTGGCTCGGAGACCGATGCTTTTTCGAACGACCACGACTGTTGGGGAACAGTCATGACCATTGGTACTCAGAATGCGAAGCGTCCGCTCGCGGCCTATATAAGGGGGGGTCGGTGAGGACGCCCCCATCGAACTCCTTGAGCCGTCACTTTCTTTGCTTTAGTGCTCTTTCCAAGCCCGCTGTTGCGTTGTTGTCCTGCCTTCGCTTGAGTGGCTTAGGACTTAGGATTTTTGCTCGCGCTGCTGCTTTCTTGATTTTGCGCTGCCTTTGGAAGTGGCTTCGCCCGCAAGTTCTGACCTTCTCTGGCCCAGCTTTAGCAGTCCTTACTCCTGCTTGCTCGGCGTTAGGTCAGAGGGTTGGCTGTGGAGGTACGAGGAGTGCATGTACATTTCGGCAGAGGCTCAAGACGGTTTGGAGGGCATCGAGGCTTCCATTAGAGACTTAGTTCCTGTTTCTCCTACCAAAAAGTCAAAGGTTCAGATGGCCAAGTCCTAGGATTTCGGGCCTTCGCTCATGACGGAGGAGGCAATAAAATCACTGGAGGAGGAAGGTTGCTTTCTGGAGGGAAAAGGCTGTCTCCCTCATGGTGAGACGGTTCCTCGGCCAGAGGTAGATGAGGCCGTCGTGTTCAAGGACTTTTTTCTTGCGGCCTCCGGATCCCTCCGATCTACTTCCTTCGGTTGGTCTTGGAGACCTTCAAGGTACACCTCCATCATCTCACGCCCAACGGTATTTTGATGCTAAGCAAATTTTGCTATGCCTATGAGACGTATGGGGCTCAGCCGGACCTGGACACCTTCTGCACATATTATGAGCTTCAATGCCGGCCCAAGAAGGCAAAGGTTGATGGCGTGGAGGTGGAGTACCAGTTCACCAGCTGTGCGTTTATGGCAAAGAGGGCGCAAAAGGAGGGCGGCTTGGAGATATCTTTTGCCCAGAAGAACAAGTGGGAGAAGGATTGGCCCCGGTACTGGTTCTACGTGAAGACCCCCGGCGTTGTTCCAAAGACTGGGCCGAAGGTCAAGAAGTACCCCTTCGCTTCAATCATGGGAGAGATGAAGCCTTCGACCCGCGTGTGGCCCCCTTCGGAGGTCGATGCGGAGAGAGCAG